AGAGAGAGAGAGAGAGAGAGAGAGAGAGAGAGAGAGAGAGAGAGAGAGAGAGAGAGAGAGAGAGAGATAGATAGATAGATAGATAGATAGATAGATAGATAGATAGATAGATAGATAGATAGATAGATAGATAGATAGATAGATAAACTTTAATAATCTAAGCTTTTTTTTCAGCAATATAAGAATAATTAATGTACAAGAAGATTGACAAGAATGATCAAACTTGTGCAAAACAAAATTAAACTGTGTAAAATGCACAAATATAATTTAAATTGTGCATAAAACAGTGAGAGATGATGTACAATATGAGCTTCTATCTAGTGTTTTGCTACATTTAACTTTTAGGTCTATATACCTTCTTTTGTCGTGCTTCTTTTACTTTTATCAGCTTGTTTAATTTGATTAGTTTCTATTATTGCTGTCTGTTTTGTTTTTTGTTAACACTGCCAGGACAATGAAACATAATTTTGTTGTGGTATGTCATGTGGAAACATATGTAACATGATAATAAAGAATCATTCATCTTGAATAATTATGAGATGATTTTTCATTATTTTGACTGGAGGATCTTGTTTTCTTCAGAGAGACAAAAATGAGAAGTCTAACATATAAATTTAATATAACAAGCCATAAAAAAATAAAAAAAACAATTCATGGGAGTTTGTAACACCAAGAATTGTTCAGGTAAGCAACACCCAGAACTGGAACAGAACTGGCGCTGGAATGGTCAGTAGTAGAAAGTGTTTCTATTTTTTATAAATATAAACCTTTGTGAAGTTGACCCAAGCATCTTCTTTTCTTAAGCCCCGCCTCTCTTATGCATCCAGTAAAAATCTTGCGCTCTGATTGGATGAGTTCACGTCGATCACGCCTTAAAGCAAGTTTGGTTGAGGTGGTGGTTGTTGATGTAGCTGTCAGAAGTCAGCCACCGCGCACAGAAGACAGCGGGTAAGCTGACATGGTTTTGTATCAGTTAATGCAATTAGTCACAGGTGACAGCTTACTAACTAGATATATAATGTTCTCTGAATCGCTTGAGAGTTTTTAAATCGGAAAATGTAAGTAAAGGACTGTTTGGTATGCTAGGTTAGCCCCCGGCGTTTAGCGTGTCATGTCATGTATGGGGTCATTCGTAAGCAGCGTTTTGTTCACCATTTAACTGAGAACAAAATTCAGTTTCCCTCCTCAGAGGACAACTGACTGTAAGTAGACATGGTGGCTGACAGCTAACACTTGGGTTTGTTGCAACTCTGTGGTTGGAAGTTCAGGTTAGTCTAATTAACCTATTATTTCTACATAGATGAGGCTTTACATTGAACCATCTACAATGTTATACTTATTGCACCTTGAACAGTGAGACCCTGCACTGGTGGTAAAATCAACAAGTCATGAATGTTGACAACAATCCGTGTGGTAGACCAGAGGAAGTGTTATGGAAATACACATTTATACACTGTAATGTAGTTTTCTTCTTCTAAATGTGTCACTCATTTCTGTGTTCTCAGATAACGATGCAGTTCCTAGGCCGGCTGTTGGACACAGTCTCCTCTGTGTCCACCCTCTTCACAAACCCTTACCGGGTCAGAGATGTGCCGCTGACCGATTATGAAGCAAGAGACAAAGCTGTGTTGAAAAGGGAAGGGCGGATGGTCCTGTACAAAAACCTACAGAGTCAGTCGTGGGACTGTTTGCTCACGTCTCCCGAGACGCCAACGACAGCTTTGAGGTCAGTGTGGATCTTTTGGTGTGGTGAGTCAGTCACTGGTGATGTAGGGTTGAAGGTCCAGATGCAGATGTGCTGCATTCATCCTTTCAGTTAATTATTAGCATTTTTCATTTAGGTCATTGTTGACAAATATCCTTAAAAGTTGCTAAACCTTTTTTGTAGTCCGTATTCTTGATTGCGTCAGTAGTGTTTCAAACAGAAACTCGAAAAACTGGCTAGGAAAATTTTGTAGTTTTTTTCCCAACTGTTACCTAAGTTTACATTTCCTGAACCTGTAAAAGAATGTTTTGCAAGTCCTAAGTTGTCATGCATTTCAATTACTTACGCTGAGTTAGTTGTACTTAAAGTTGACAGTAGTTTAACTTTTACACAGAATTGTCCCAAACCACATAGCTGTGTGCATCATGAAACACTGAGTCTTCAGATAATCTCCATCTCCAGACATTAAAATATATGAAAAATATAATGGCATACTTTGTTGTAATTCTTAAATAAGGTAAAACAATGATCCACATTGAAAAGTATAATGGTTGATGTGGCTATTTGTGTTACAATTATGCTCTAGTTTTTTTTAGATAGCATTGTTCATATACTTTAACCAGTGAAAACAAGGGACACAAGTCTCAGTCACTGTTATTTTGTGGGTCGGAAGCAGAAAAGTTTATTGATTAGTTCAAACGACTTAAAATATACGTTTCAAGAAGACAGCAGCTTTATGTTCAATATGAAAGTGAGTTTCAATGAGTTGTACTGACTTGGCAACAAGGAATACAAAAACAAACTTCTTGAACACTCATAAAATATTTTACTCCTATTAGTTCTTTATTTTTCAAGTGGTCATTTATTAAAGTGTTACCACATTTTCATTGGGGAAAACAAAATTCCCCTTATGGCATTTTTACTATATTGTGTAATATGGAAGTGTCTGCAGGCTGTTTCAGGTCATGTCAGAGGGAGAGGCCATGAACTGGTTTCCGCAGTATGCTCTCAAACTTCAACCCTTCTATGAGATTCTTCCACTGAAGGCTGAGACGGTGCAGACAATTTTGGACTGCATCCGTAGCCACCCAGACTGGAGCTCTGCCCACATCGCTGTGGAGACGGGCCTGAGAGAATGCCTCAAACACAACTATGTACAGAGGTGAGACGGGGGTGTTGATTTTTATCCAGTGAAAGTCTTTCACTAGCATGTTCATCACTGATGTATTGCTTTAAAAAGAAAGGATTATGATGCCTGAATCTTTTCAGCAGAGACGGGTGAGAGCCAGCTACATGCATGCAAGACCATGAATAATTTCAAGTTGACTTATCTAAAACAAACTCAAAAATTATCGGTCATTTTAGCCCATAAGCTGTTAAACTTTTAAACTGATGTGCAACTTGTTCCATATTGGTTTGTGTTCGTTCAAATAGTTTTTTTATTTATATATATTCAGCCTAAAATTGTGGAAGTTGACCCTTTTTTTATTGTGAATATTTTGTTTCCTTCTTAATTTGAACAAAAAAGTCCTTAAACTGTGAAACATCTGGGTTTTTACAAGTATTTTTTACTTTACCTTTATAAAAACAGAGTAAGTAAAATAGTATCAGTAGCACAATAATCCTTAGCATCCAATGCTTTAACAACATCATTAAAAGTCTTCAACAAGTGAACAACCAGTTTTGTCTGTCACCAGCAAACTGGTTGAACTATGTGAAGGTTCTGTTTATAAGACTGAGTTTGTTGCAGCGCCTCAGACTGAAGAAGTCTTTTGGATAAAAGACGAAACTTTTCAACAGCGAAGAATCCATCCAGAGGACATGACTTAACCTTGTTAGATAAAAAGAAAATGCATTACAAACTTAGATCTGATTGTATTTTCAGTTCAACATCTTCCAGTTTGGATGCCAAGTCTTACAATTAGAATGCACGAACCAGAAAAACACTGAAAGCTCTCCTTGTTTTTTTTATGTTCCTACATGTAACAACACAAGCCACACAAACGGTAAAAGCTCTACAAACCAGCTTCTGTAACTTGCTGATTATAATAAAGTCTTGTGACCGCAAAAGGCAAACATTAATGTTCAGATCTTCATACTTTTAAAATGAAATGGTTCAGTCAATTAAACATGGTTCTTTTATGATGCAAATCTTTTTTGGGGAAATGTATATTTTTAAATTTTCTGTCTGTGTTCAGTCAGATTAATGCTCGAGACGCATCGGGTCAGACACCTCTGCACCTGGCGTGTGCACGAGGAGACTTGTCATGTGTGAAGGAGTTGCTGGACGAGAGTCAGGCCCGCACCGACATCAAAGACCATAACGGAGAAACACCGATGCACTACGCCTCCAAGCAGGATTCTCCTGTCATCATCCAGGTGAAGCTCAACGACTGATGTGGTGTCACAGTTGCATGTTAAATGGTTGCAGCGTTATTCTTGTTTTTGTACTAGTTCCCATTGTTTCATGTATTTCATGTGTAACTGTATGATGAACTCGTATCAAATAGGAATTTGAAGATTACTCTCGGTTCCATCAGTGATTCTAAATGTCAATTCCTGCCTACAGAAGGCACCAAATATTCAAATGTCACAACAGATGCGTGAGGTTTTCATTGCCAAAAGCCTGACAAGATGACATAAACAAAATAATTAAGATTAGACAATAGATTAGATTAAACTATTAAAATGATAATGTGAAAGTGCACATGTGGGGTGTGCAAGCTGGAGAACAATGATGAAAACATGTCAAAAGCAACATTTATGGCAGACCAAATCATGGCTCTGCATGCATCATTGCTAAGCAAGACAACTTTGTTTTACAGATGTTACTGTTCAAAGGCTGTTTAAGTATTGCACCTTTTTATATATCCGTCCCTAAAGACACAGAATACCTCAGCTGTCATTCCTGTGTTCTGTTGTAGCAACAAAAGCTAAAGCCCGCAGCAGGTTGTCACACACATCACACTCGACCATCTGGACAGATGTATGCAGCTCAAATTACCCATCAGTGTTTAATGCAAACAAGAAAGTTCTGGAAAGAGTTTCTCTTGAATTTTAAACATAAATTCTAGTGTTGTGTTTGTGCTGATGGGCTTGGAAGTGAGGGCGTGTACATCTTATTTTTTAGGTACAAGCAGTAAGCTTACTGGAAAAGAAAGGGAAACTCCACTGTGTTAACTCCTTTTAACATGATCTTCTTTTCCTCTCTCCTCCATTTTTTTTCCCCCCATCCTCTTCTTGTTCAGGCCTTGTGTTCGCGGTTGTGTTCTGGGGTGGACGAGGTAAATAACAATGGGGAAACCCCGCTCCATGTGGCCTGCCGGTTAGGACGTGTGGAGTCTGTCAAAGCCCTTTTGGAGGGTGGAGCAAAGTGTGATGTCATTGGCGGTATTGGCTACCCGGTCCACACCGCCATGAAATACAGCGAGAAAGGGTGAGACTAAAGCTGCTTTAGTTAGAACAGCACTGATTCACCTGAAACTGTGTGAAGTTCTCTCAACATCAAAATACAGTATTCCCTCGTTTATTGCAGGGGTTTGGGACCCCCCCCCCCCCCCCCCCCGACACACACACACACGCGCACACGCGCACACGCGCACACGCGCACACGCGCACGATCAGTGAAATTAAATGCGGAATAGGGATACAGTAGTCCAAGTTCAAGTAAACTTTACTGTCATTACCTTCCCATGAGGTACATGAGATGGAAGGAAATAGTACCAGCAGCAGCATTATTATTTTCTGTCGTAGTAGGTTTTGGTGTTTTCTGTCGTAGTAAGTATTAGTTTATTTTAGTATTTATATACAGGTATATATTAAGGTGTTTTAAACCATCCCCACACTCTTTCAATGTCCCTAACAATTTTCTAAACTCTCTAAAAGAGCACAGCATGTCATGATCTCAGCTCTCTGCCACCTGCCAACACACTGGCCACGCCCACTTCCGTGCTGCAGAGCAGAGATCTGACATGTGCTGCAGGAGGAAGCTTCTCCTAGAGCTGTTGGCTGCACACAGGTGCTAAATAATTGAAAATATATTTTAAATAAAAATCCAGGCCGATCGTGCGGCTCATCCATCAATCAGCCAATTGTGTGTCATGTCCAGTCTTACTTTGAAAAAAACGCATTAGAGCAAGTCCGCGAAAAACGAACCGTGAAGTAGCGAGGGACTACTGTAGAGGATGTCCTCTTGAAGAAAGGATTATTTCTGGTTGACCCTGTGACTTTTCTTTGTATGAAATAGTTTAACTTGATTTCATACACACTTGTGAGTTTTTGGAACGTGTTTATTGTAAAACATCTGTGCTGCAGCTATCAAATATTTAAAATTACCTTCCAGGAATGCAATCGAAAAGGTTTTTACCATATTAAAGAATGTTTTAACATTTAAAGATGGTGCTATTAGGAAGCGAAACTATTTTTACAAAAGCTACAAAAGTTGAAAAACTTAATAAATTATAGAAGTTTTCATCAAAAACAGAAATTTATTTATTTTTACTTTGGCAAATGGTTGAGAGCTACTGTGACTGGGGAAAAAAAAGTTTTTCTGTAAAATACATCAATGTGAAAAGAAAGGATTTAAAAAAAAATTAACATATAGCACCTTTAAAGCCAAAATAAACAGTGGACCTAATAAAAAACAAACACTTAAACAACTAACTACTTCTTCTTCAAAAAAAAAAAAAAAAAAAAGAATCAGTTTAGAACATAAAAATGTTAATCTTATAACGATAATGAATGATTTACGTCTGTAAATATGTGATGAGTAGTCCAAGTAGTTATTGTTTGTGTTTCAGCTGTGTGGAGGAGATCCTTAACGCAGATCCTGGTCAGCTCCAAGCTGAAGACTCCGTGTATGGAGGGACACCCCTGCACTGGGCCAAAACAGCTGAGGTTACTAATTTTATGTCACGTCTTTGCTGTTCGCTGCATGTTTACATTGTGATGCAGCTGTTAAAATAACATTTGGGGATTCTCTTCAAGAACCCTGCTTGAACATAATAAATTAACCTAAACCCATTGTGTAAATGAACAGCACGGTTTGGCTGGTTACTGGTTTTGTTGGGACTGTTAGGAGATCAGCTAACTTTATGTCTCCTGTTTCGGTCTTTCTGTGGCAGATGTGTCGTCTGCTGCTGGAGCAGGGCTGTGAAATAAACTACCTCAGTAAGACCGGAGAGAGTGCGCTCCACATTTTGACTAAAAAGGGTCGCTTCGAGGCAGCCATGGTGCTGCTCACCCACGGGGCGAACGCTAACCTGAAGGGCCAGGATGGGAACACACCTCTGCACTTGGCTATGAAGGTGTGTGGACAGGACTGATCTAATAATCTAACGTTCTCTTACTACTTCAGGTTTCTTTAAGATTAAAAAAAAAAAAAAGCAAAATATGATTTCTACAAGTCACAGACCACTATTATGTGCTTAAGTACTGCAAAAAGAAACTACAACTGTAACATTTGCTCACATTTTTAAATCGGGTATAACCAATGTAAAAAATACTTTTCACAGTTTTGTTTCTATGTTAAAGATTCTCTTGTCAGATGGAGACTTGGAAATGATGCCCATCTGTCCGGTTCATTTTGTGAGCATGATGGCTTGAAAAATAAGTGAGATACTGACTTCCATTTTGATATGTGGCTGCATCTAGGTGTAAGAAAGGTCCCTATCAAACCACATCAAAATTCAAGATGGCCACTGCCATATTTGTACAACCGGCCACCATAATCATTTGAGGAAATTATGCTTTCTAGTTTTTATTTTACTGAAAAGTAAAGTTTCCTCAAATTATTGGGGTGGCCAAAGATGAATCTATGGTGGCCAATAGCTACCACTTGGCTCTGCCGTTGCAACTGGTGGTGGATAAAATTGCTCTTTCCGCTTGAAAGGATCGGTCACTCTACCTCAGGCAAGCAGATAAATAAATAAAACCTGCCTCTATTCTTATACACAGTGTAACTCCTACCTGCTAGAATATCTTGCACCAAAACATCAAGGTTCACCTGCATTCTCTGTTCAATGCCAGTTCAGAAAACTACTCATTTTGAAAACTACAAACATTTACTGTTCAAACCTTGCAGTGACATTGGACATAGGTGTGCAGCTTATTAATTCTGCGATTATCAATTTTAATCAGAACTAAATAAAGTTGTTCTTTTTTTTAAAGAGCTGTAATAGCTTCAAAGTGAATATCCATCCATCTATTATCTTCACCCGCTTCTTCCTTTCTGGGCAGGGGCGGACTGGGACAATAATCCAGGCCGGGAATTTTGATACCATCCCAGGCCACCACCACCTGATTAACGCAAACCACCAAGACTGAGTTCAATTGAGCGCACTTTGAATGCATGTTGTTTGCACACGTCTAACTGAGTTTTCACTTATTGACTATTTATATGTATTGGCTATTCATATAACAAAAAAAAAGGTCTTAATCTCAACGGAACTTTACCTGGTAAAATAAAGTTTAAATAAAATATTGTAATACAAGGATTTTAATATTCAGATAATTTATTGGAGTAATGAAGGGTATACACAAAATATCCTCAATAATCCAGGTAGAAATTCTAAAAAAGTTAAGTCAGGTCCTCTGGACAGATTAAAAAAAAAAAAACTTGTTGAAACGTTTAGTCTTTAATCCAAAAGACTGTCAGTTTGAGAAGTTGCAACAAACTTAGTTTCAAATAGTCTCTTTTCATAGTGGATCAACCAGTTTGTTGCTGACATCCAGAACTAGCTGTTAACATGATAAAGGAGGACCATCATCAGCCTAACAATGGATCGTTAGTGCTCTAGGCTGTTTGCTATTCACAGGGGGCTGAGAGATACCAGCAATAACAGCATTGTAAGAGGGCTACAGTTGGACACAGAGGCCTCTGTCCCTGTTTAATGATGGATGAGTTCTCATCACAAAGATGGCTTCCTTTACTCCTCTCTCAAACCAACACTTCTCTCTATCAAGGATGAGCACATCTTCATCCCTGAAAGTGACTGCTGGCCTGCAGATGAGTGTAAACCACAGAGTTCTCCTGGCCTGATGATGTTGCTCTTTGGCCCAGCACAGAAGAGCAACATCTTCAGGCCAAGACTCGGCAGTTTACACTCATCTGCAGGCCAGCAGTCACTTTCAGGGAAAGATGTGAAGATGTGCACATCCTTGATAGAGAGGAACTATGGTTTGAGAGAGGAGTAAAGGAAGCCATCTTTGTGAAAAGAAACCATTGTTAGGGGTTGTTAGGCTGCAGGTCTTCCTTATGTTAACAGGTTGATCCACTATGAGAAGAGGCTATTTGAAACTGAGCTTGTTGCAACTCCTCAGACTGAACTTAGTTTTTTGGATTAAAGACAAAAGTTTCAACAAGTTTTTTTTTTTATTTGTCCAGAGGACCTGACTTAACTTTTTTAGATACAAAAAAATCTGAATTCCTAGACATTTCAACATTAAACTTTTTTCAGATCCTAACCCATATTATAAAATTTGCAATATTCTTTGTAAAAACTTAAAAACATTTGTTATATTAAGTCAGTTTTGGCCCACTTAGGTCCCTCAAAGTGAAGCTAGCATGTGGATATTAAGCTGTGCTGATAAACTGTGCCAGAGTTCAATTTTTTCAACACAAGTGTTTCTCTTACCTGCTCCATTACGAACAAACATTAATTTATAGCACTTAGCAGCATCCGCGGCCAGAGCTTTTCTCTTTTTTATCCTCTCTCTCTCTGCTCCACCTTTCCTCTTCTTTGGCTGTCTCTGTTGCTCCATTCTACAACTCAGAGATGCACGCACCGCGCGCCAACACCGTCGGGAGCGCGAGTCCTAGGGCGGGGAGGGGGGCGGGCGCAATGTGTGTGTGTGTGTCTCTGCTCTGTGAGCGACACACAGAAAAGGAAGGGAGGGGGCCGGCCCGGCCGGGGGATGTGCCAGGCTTTCTCCGTCGCTGCAGTGCAGCGTGAGACCTGAGCCCAGGCAAAAGTGAATTGTTTATTTAAAATAATAAAGTCCGTGCGACCCGAACCGAGCCTTTAGTCCCGTTCCTCGGCAACCAGGCCACCGGGAAGTGTCCCGTCGTGCCCGATGGCCAGTCCGCCTCTGTTTCTGGGTCACGGGTTAAAACTGTATATAGTAAATAGTTTAAATCTATTGTAACAGTTTTGTTCTTGCTCCTTAGATGGACCACATAGAGATGATCAAAGCACTGATAGTTTTTGGTGCTGATGTTGAGATCCACAATGACCTGGGAGAAACTCCTGGACTCATTGCTGCACGCAACAGTAAAGGTGAGACAAACAACAGGCGCAAATCAAAACGTAGATAACGGCAACTATGATGAGACCGTTTGAGTTACGAAAATTAATCTAACAAGAGTTTAATGTGCCTGAACTAACAATGAATGTTGGATGTCATGGAGTCTGTTTTAAAGCATGCGGTTCATGGTGAATGACAGAGCTCTGCACTGAAATATGCTTCCAAAGTGAAATTATTTTAAATGTTACCGGATGAACCTAAACTTTTCTTTGGTTTGGTGTATTAACTATCAACTCTTGTTATACAGCACTTCATACCATTATTCGAGACTCTAGAAGCAAAGTGTTAGAAACGTTGCTGTTGATTCTCAGTCGAGTGGGACAGGGGTCTGCAAGCTGCGGCTCTGGGGCCACATGTGGCTCTTTGGTCCCTCTGCAGCGGCTCTTTCAGACTTTGAACAAAACTCAAATAAAACTGAATTTTATTTCAGTTATTGCCAACAATAAAAAATGGCTAGTTTCAGCAGATTTCCTGTCATTTTCTAATCTGTGAAGAATGGTACAAATACGAGAAGTGAAACGTGGACTACATCTTGCTAGTAGTTTGTTAGCTACTTTAAGTCGACTTCCTGTCTCACAGCGTGATCTTTCTCTCAAAACCACCAGAATGTTTTGGAATATCTTTAAGACAAGCTGCTGAGAAGGAATATTTGAAGATAAGAAAAAAAAAAACCAACACAAAAAACAAAAGTCAAAGTAAACTAAAGGGTTTTTTTTTTTTTCCTTTAAAAATGTAACTGGATATCCAACATACTGGACTAATTTTATTCTGTCTTTTACTTTATGCTTTAAGTAAGATACTTCAACAATTAAGAGAACTCACATTGGCCTGCAGAGTTCAGTGTTTTAATTTTTATAAAATTGTTAAAAATTATATAGTTTTTCTTTCTTTACATGAAACTGGTCTTTTCTTTTGTATTAAAATGTAAAAATATCAATAAATGTTAATAATGATTAGACTTTTTCATTTTATAATATCATGCCCCACTGGCTGGAAAAGCCATCTCCAACAAACTTGTAATGGTCCACTGGTCACCAGTTGACGGTACACAGTTGCAGCAGATTTTGCGGCTCAGACACGTCGTAATTAGTCAGCAAAGTAGTGAAAATGATTATTTTTATCACAAAGGTTGTAGACCCCTGATCATTGGTGTTTAAAGACATTTCACGTTTCGTCCAAAAGGCTTTTTCGGTTCTGCTCAAATCCATCAGAACCGAAGAAGCCTTTTGAATGAGACGTGAAAGAAACATCTTTAAAAGAACAAAACGCAAAGTCCATTTGTCTTTAGGAACATAATTAGAATGGACTGCGGTAGCTTGTTGGTCAAATTCAAGCACCGGTTACGTCAGGAAGAGCATCCAGTGTAAGACGACTGTCATTCATGCAAGCTCCCTCGCTGTGGCGACCCCTGCAAAAGGAAGCACTCCCAGTTGTTCCTCAGTTAGGTTTAGTTATGTCATAAACTCGTATTCCCATTTCTGAATTAGGTCGCACTAGTTAATTTTTTCCTCCTACCTTTTGTGCAGTAGCTTTTTCTCAACAGATGAGAGCAGAGCTGCAACCAAGTGAAAATATCCCAAATCCTAAAAACCTGTTAGTGAAGAATTTACTTCAATTATTATCTATTATTATTAATCTATTATACAATCTATTATTATTATATAATTAGTAATTATTGTCAAATTTAAGAAGATGTGTTTTAATTTGTTTTGAGTGTAGTACCTTTTTTCGACCACCGGATGGCAGTATAAGACTTTTTGAACTGAAGGATGGATAGTGAGGGAGCGAGCAGTGTGTCTCTAAGAAAACTGGGAGGGAGGCCCCTTGACTTGACATGGGCTGTCTCTTCGGTTCTCAAAATGGCGGACGCTTGGTGTGATTTGAGCTCTTTAGCATAGCATTTTTCACACAAAGCTTTTAATACAAAAATCATTAAATAAGTTCTCAGCTTCTTTTTGCAGAGAAAAACTTTTTACACAAAGGGTCGGGTTTCAACCGTGAATTTTTGGAGCTTTGACAAGACGGAGGATTTTTTTTCCCCGAGGTTGGCCTGTTAGCTTAGCTCGTAGCTTAGCTTCTCAGCTTAGCTGCTTTTAACGATCCAAAAAAAGCTATTTCGGATGGTTAAAATGGATTTTAAAGAGAAAAGAGAAAGGGAGGAGTCCGTGAGGAGCCCAGAGTTGAGCTTTTTGTCATCCAGTGTCTTCAGTAGAAAGAGAGAGACGCGAAGAAATGATAAAGGCGATAAATGAAAATGAGGTCGATAATTTTCATTTATCATGCAATTAATTGATTTGTTGTTTATCGCGACAGGCCTAGCAATGCTACTTAGAGCAACATAAAAAAACCATTTATTTTTCTTTTTTAATAAAAGATCTGGACATTGTTTCTTTAAAGTATGACATCCTGTTGATACGTAAGTTGTGTAAACATGAAGAAGTTTTGTGCTCAGAGACCATAAACTGAGTTTGCTGTTTTTTCTTGATTGCTATGATGCTATCTGCTTGTTGTTCTCTCTTTCTCTCTCTCTATTCACTAAATATCTCTCCATCCTAAAATCTCCCTTCTTGTGCTCTTGTGGCATGTGTTTGCATGTCTAACATGTTGGCTTGTGTTTGTATTAACACCAAAGGCCCTAATAGAAAGATACTGCTGGACATGCTGTGTAATGTAGGAGTCGATCGTTGCCTGCCCCCCTCCCCCAGCAGTCCTCCTGTCATCTCCAACACGACCAAACCTCAAGCCATAGGTAACGCCTTCGTCCCTCAGCTTTCCTTTCCTTTTACTGCATATAGTTTAGATTTTTCTTCCACTCAGACAGTACTTTCTTTTTTTGTCAAATTAAAATAAATGTGTTTCTTTTTATATTTCTACATTTAGAGTATTTAGACTCTTTAACAAAATTAGCTTTTATGTACTGACACACTTATTTTAACCTTTTTTTTTTTTCTTTTTTTTTTTTATAAATAAAAATGTGATGTTTACACTGTTGCACAGCATTTCTGTTTATTAAATAGTTCTTCATTATAAAATTGAGATTTTATTTGGAAGTGTTCACTTTATTATAAGAAATGGTAATGCATAATTGCCATGCTCAAACATTTTTTATAAGCAACATACTTGTAGTTGATAATATTATATTGTAATGAATAAAGAACAACAAAAAAGGTTCAATCATGTCATCTGGATAAAGAAGTTGTTTTTATTTTTTTTTTTTAAACAATGATTCAACACTTCCACTTTTTGTAAAACTTGCATCTGTTTTGCATAAAGCTGAGCAGCCTCTTCCCTTCTGTTGTTTGTATCTTGAGCTTTTCTGATTTGCTTGTAGGGTTCAACAACATCATGTATGAAGGAGCTGCTGCAATGAACCGAGGCAGATCTGAACTTGATGGTCCTAAAGTGGAGAGGAAGTAAGTATAGGCACATTATATGAAAAAAGCTTTATCTAAAGATAATACAAGTTCTCTTTTTATTCAAAAGACTTTTATCCTGTAATCATTCAGTAATTTGAAGTGAACGTGTCAGAATTCTGTCATTTTTCCAGTTTTGGAAACATAAAAATGCTTTTATAGTATGTGGGCTGATGTATTCTTTCTTCTGTCCTGCAGGATGGACAGACTCCTGTGTCTGGATGGCGGAGGTATTAAAGGCCTGGTGCTGATCCAGATGTTGATCGCTCTGGAGAAAGAGGCAGGACGACCCACCAAAGAGCTGTTTGATTGGATAGCTGGCACGAGCACAGGGGGCATCCTCGCCCTTGCCATAATTCATGGTATGTGTTTTTTTTAAATTATTATTATTGTTAATATTTGTATCCACCTCTATAATGTTTCCTTTGTGTTAGGTAAGAATATGGAGTACTTGCGCTGCCTGTACTTTAGGATGAAGGAGCAGGTATTTAAAGGCTCCAGACCCTATGAATCTGCACCACTGGAGGACTTCCTGAAGAAAGAATTTGGAGAAAACACCAAGATGACAGACGTGCGATACCCCAGGTGACAGCTCATGTCAGAATGTAATAGTTTGGCAACCTGTAGAGACGTGTACCAAGTACTTAAAACAAAACCTTCCTGAGGACAGAACAATGTCAAAAGACATGAAAGAGGCCAAATGCTGTGAAAAAAGCCATGTGTCCAAACAAATCCTTAATAACAGATAAAGTATATTGTAGTGACACTTTCTATAAAATGGTCTTTCTCCCCCCCCCCCCTCTCTTTGACTCCAGAGTTTCAGGTTTTAAATGTATATATTTTTTGAGTTTAACATAAATAGTGTTGAATAGGGTCTTTTGATTTTTGCAGCGGTAAGATACCTTTTTTAAATTAAGTTTAGAAAGACGGCTCTAGCCTTCTTTTTTTTTTTTTTTTTTTAGTTTTACTTGACCGTATCAAAAACATTCAAGTTATCATTTTTATAATAAACATATATATGTCCTCCACCGCAACTGGTAGAGCTGCTGCCTCTCGGCGAACAGGTCCCTGGTTCAAATCCCGGTCCAGGGGTCTTTCTGGGTGGAGTTGGCATGTTCTCACCATGCATGTGTGTTTTCTCCGGGTGCTCTGGTTTCCTCCCACAGACCAAAAACATGCATGTTAGGCTGACTGGTAACTCTAAATTGTCCCTAGGTGTGAGAGAGAGTGAAGGGTTGTTTGTCTCTGTGTCCCTGTGATGGACTTGCGACCCGTCCAGGGTGTCCCCCACCCCTCGCACAGTGATTGCTGGACATGAGCACCGGCGACCCCCGTGTCCCAAAATGGAAGAAGCGGGTAAAAGATAATGAATGGATGGATGGATGTCCTCCACCTGTATTTAATCTGTCCTCTCTTTAGGAATAAAGTTTTTTTTTTTCTTGTTGTACTCTTTGCACAGGGTCATGGTGACCAGTGTACTAGCTGATAGACACCCAGGTGAGCTGCATATCTTCAGAAACTACAACCCCCCAGACATTCCCAGGGAGCCTGTGTATGCCACCACTGCCACCTTCAAGCCTCTCATCATTCCTCAAGGTACTTCAAACACTGCCCGCCTCATTTTGTGCAGTGCACGGATAATACCACTCGATGGCATCAAATGAGCACTTCTCACTGTGGCTCTAATGGTTTTTAACACTACAGTGAGGCGATCCCAACAGGAAAAACATGCGCCAGTGTTCTTGTTTCCTTTTGGGAAAACGGCCAGAAAATGATTTTTTTATTTTTTGAGCTGACCGAAAACCTTTCAATTTTTGTGTCAACACATTCATAAATAAGTTCAGATGTGTACAGTTTGAGTGCCAGCCATGTTGTTGTTGCAGGATGGGAGGATGAGGATGTGTTGATAGTAGGATACACAGAAGAACCTCCCAGAAAGCGTAGGAAGGTGACGGATGAAGGTGTGTAGATGCTCGTTGGTGTCTGAATGCAGGTGAAAGGCTCAAAGTCGTCAAATGTCCTGCAGGAAAGACCCTAGTAGATATTAAAATATCATTTTTATTTAACTAAAAGTGCTAACAGTGAAAGAGCAAATTATGCACAAAGAGGCTTCTCAGTAAATTCATAAATTAAAGTTAAGTCAGCAAAAATCTTTAGAAACACCCATTTCAGGAAGTTGCTGCAGCTTCATCTTTGACATCTCTTGTCAGTCTTCAGGTTTAGCAAAGATTTTAAAATATGATTTTGACCATCTGTTTTAGATCACAATTGTAGTTAGATTGTGAAAATTAACTTTGTAAATTGCTTTTCTACACCAGTGTGATGCTCCACACTGGTTAGTCGTCATTATCTACATCATTTTTATGTCTATATTCTGATTTATTTCATTTTGTATTTTGCTTTGTGTATTACCTGTTGTTCTGTCTGTACAGCACTTTGGTTGTCCTTGTCGCTGTTTTAAGTGCTATATAAATAAAATGGTATGGTAAAAATGTAGTAAAATGATTTTTTTGCTATATATTTTTTTCCCATTCCCGAGATTTCTACAAACCGATAATGAAAACGAACAACTCAGAATTGAACGTATCCAGTTTAGAGAGTGTGTAAAGCTTTAAACTGCAACATCACCCAGCCCAAGTTAACATAAAAATCTTTAGTAGTTGCAAAAGCACAAACACAAAAAAACAAACACCTGGTCTAATTAGTAATTCGTCTCTTCCAGTCTTTTCTAGTAAGAGCAGAGAGGTGATTTTTTTTTTTTTTTTTTAAACATAAATGATTTTTCACTGCACTCAGAGATTTAAATCAAGACTCCTGTCCTCTGACCGAAAGCCTCAGATTTTTGTTTGACTGAGGTCTTTTTGTTTATTTCAGAACAACTTGTGTGGCGAGCCGCTCGCTCCAGTGGTGCTGCTCCCACTTATTTCCGACCAATGGGGCGCTTCCTGGATGGTGGGCTGTTGGCTAATAACCCGACACTGGATGCTATTACAGAAATCCACCAGTACAACAAGGCCTTACAAGCTAAGGTGCACTTTTATTATTTTTTATGTATTCTTTTTTTTATATCATAAATTGTATTTAATTCTTCACCGAGCAATGTTTGCAAACCTTTGCCTGCATTAAATTTAAATATTGTTTTGTTCTGTCCCTCTCAGGGCGACCTGCAGAATGTTAGGAAGATGGGTGTAGTTGTTTCTCTTGGGACAGGTAGGTCACCTGATTGTCTCCAAACACGGTAAAGGATGCACCTGAAGGAGTAGTTTGTAAAATATTATTCATCTATCCACAGCTAGCTTTTGATTTCTAACAACTTAACTGGATTTCAAAGACATGAATATTGACTCTTTAATGACTTCATTGTTTTTGCAACCGTTTGCACAAATGTCTGACTTGTGGCACAGACGAATGTTGGGTTTAGTTATTACATAATGTAATTAAAGCTTTATTACTAGTTGATGTAGCTTTGTTTTTACCTCATTTTAATCTTTTTCGTAAGAGTTCAGTTTCTGACTGAAGTCCACTTTTTTGTTCCGTTTGACTTGTTACACAAAACCTTGTGTGTTTCCAGGTAAACCCCCCCAAGAGGTGGTGAGCTCTGTGGATGTATTTAGGCCCTCCAACCCTTTGGAGCTGGCCAAGACTTTCGTAGGAGCGAAGGAGCTGGGCAAAATGCTGGTGGACTGTGTGAGTGCACCACTTTTTGTGTTGGAAACCAGGATTCTATTTGCTGTCTTGTTCCTTCTGTCAGAGTTGCTTTTCTCACTTTTTGTTTCCTTTTTAGAAGCTTTTGCTCATGACTAACACATTCAAACAAGTGTTTTTGTCTTTCTGGGTCTGCGGTTCCTCTGAACGGACAGTGTACGGACTCTGATGGCTGTGCAGTGGACCGGGCCAGAGCCTGGTGTGAAATGGTTGATACCATCTACCACAGGTCAGTTGTTCTGCTTTTCTGTTATTTTTAGCTTCTTTATCTTTGTGGCAAACGATACAGAAGTATCTGTATTTATCATAAACTGATAAAACAGTTTATCAGTTTTCACGATGAACTGTTAAATATAACAGTTTATCACGAAAACATTAAATAAATACAAAATGGTTATTTTCAGTCTGCTCGCATATCGGTGTTTAATGTTTAGATTTTTTTACTATGAGGAGAAAGGTTTTAAATGTCAACATTTATAATATTAACAGTTTGGAGTTGTCAACTGATCACCACTTGATGGTGAGTTGGATTAGATGTCGGGGAAGATACCGGATAGACCCAGTCATGTAGTGAGGGTTTGTCATCAGAAAGATCATCAACTCACACCTCCGAGAAAGTTTTAACCACATCCTAACAAGGGCAGGGGACATTTAGTCTGAGTGGGCCATGTTCTGCACCTCTGCTGTTGAGGTGGCTGTCTTGAGTTGTGGCTGCAACGTTGTTGGTGCTTCTCACTGTGTCCATCCACAAACTCAGTGGTGGGCAACCCAGGTTAGGAAGGCTGTTAAGCTGAAAAAGTCTTATTGGGTCTTATATGATGGTAGGACTCCGGAGGCAGCTGAGGAGTGTTGGTGAGCCAAGCGAGCTGCATCTGTGGGTGTTGCTGAGGCAAAAGCTCGAATATGGGAGGAGTTCAATGAGGTCTTGGATGGAGACTCTCGATTGGCTCTGAGGAGATTCTGGCAAACCATTAGACAGCTGAGGAGGAGAAAGCAGCACTTTACTAATACTGTGTTCAGTGAAGGTGGGGTGCTGTTGACTTCAACCAGTCATGACATCAAGAGGTGGAAAGAATGCGTCTTGGACTTTCTTAATCCAACCGGCACGTCTTCCATGGAGGAAGCCGAGTCGGGGGACTTCGGAGTTGGTCTGTGCATAACCAAGGCTGAAGTCACAGAGGTAGTTAAAACGCTCCACAGTGGCAGGGCGCCGGGGGTGGATGATATCTGCTATGAGTTTCGCAAGGCTCTGTTGTGAAGCGGTCTTGATTGACATGCCTTTGCAACATTGCATGGACTCTGGCAGACTGGGGTGGTGTTTTGCCTCCTTTAAAAGGGGGATCTCCTGTATTCCATTTATAGGGCCATCACACTCCTAAGCTTCCATGCTAAGGTCTATACAGGCGTATTGGAAAAGCAAGTCTGATCGATAGTCGAACTGTAGATTTTGGAGGAATGATGCAAGTTCCGTCCTGGCCGTAGCACACTGGACTAGTGCTTTACCCTGACTAGGGTTCTTAAGGGGTTATGGGAGTTTGCCCATTCAGTCTACATGTGTTTTGTGGAATGTGGAGAAGGCATTTGACTGTGATCTTTGAGGTACACTGTGGGGGGTGCTCCATAAGTATGGGGTAGGTGCTCTGAGAATGTCCAACTGGGAGGAGACCCTGGACATGCTGGAGAGACAGTCTCTTGGCTGTCCTGGGAATGCCTTTGAATCCTCCTACAAGAGCCGGGAAAGATGTCTGGGCCTTCCTACTAAAGCAGCTGCCACAAAGACCTTACTCTGGAACTAGCTGAAGATAATGGATGGATGGATGAATGAATGAAACATTTGAACGTAACATAAATCAAGCATTTATTGTTTCTTTAACAGCTGTTATTTAGCATTGCAATGTCTATTTACTTTTTCAAAATTTGGGAAATTAATTCAGATGTACTACATGTAACTCCACTTAACAAATTTACAACTGATCTTGTAGCTAAAGTACAGATGCAAATGACCAATTATTTCCATTAAAGAGGGTCCACATTTAACAAGCTATTAAAGCTATTAAAAAAACATACACAATTATCATAGCCTATATGTAGTTTATTTATGCAAACATCACTTTGAGTCTTCTGAAAAAAAGTTTTCAAGATTGTAAATTGTGTTTTTGTGCAGACTGAGTCCGCAGCTGTCTCAGGAGGTGATGCTGGATGAGGTGAGCGACGCAGTCCTCGTCAACATGCTGTGGGAAACTCAGATGTACCTGTTTGAGAAGAGGGAGATCCTTCAGTCTCTGGCAAAATTCTTACTAAACAACTGAAAGGACGAGGAAATCACAGAGTTGCCAGAAGAATGAAGAGACATTACTGAACCATGTAACTGCCTCAAGACTTTGTCTGTGTCGATGGTACTTTTAAAGAAGTAAAGTGACTTTTCTATTTTAGCTGAAATAAGTATTTAGAAGATATTTAAATATGGCAGACACTGACAGCAAATCCAGGGTTTATACTGACTTACTTGTTGAAACAATAATTACCAGTATGTAGCATCATGTAACTTTATCACTGCTGTGTTTATTAGGTTTACTGGTTTTATATAAAAAAGAGAAGACTTGATAAAATCTTCCCGTCAACAGTTAGTAAAACATGGAGTAGGCAGAGGAAGTGGCATCAACCGACGCAAACAAGCAAACTCACTGTGAAAGTTTTAACCAGGTTTGGTTATTGCAACACGCACACACACACAAAAAAAAGTCTAGACCTGTCTATTATAATCCAAGGAACTCTGTAATACATCCAGGAAAAAAGTGTACGTTTGTGTGAGAACCATTTTTCTTACTAAGTTTCATTATGACCATGCTTTTACATGTTTATTTATACTGATCTTTGACACATTTACCTTCACCCCTGAAAAGTAACTTTCACACTTCTCACGCTTTACTTCAAATCTTTCCTGTTTTGACCTCACTGAGTGCGAGTGAAGTAAAAACCGTTTCAACCTAGATCGAGTAACAGACCTGCTGCTGCTTGCACAGCATGAACAGGAAGCAATTGTTATGTAATTTATTCTTTTATGTTATTGTTTATTGAAGTGTGTAATAAATTGTATCACTACTGACCTCACATGTATCTGACTGATTTAATTCTGGGGTCATTAGCATTCCTGCACAGAGTTTCTAGGCCTATTTCTATTTGGCATTTTACAAATTGCAAACGTTTCAAAATTAGGGTAGTAAATTATAAGTACAAATAATTTACCACCACGGTAAGAATTGCTTGTACTTTTTTTAACAACTGTTTTGTTATTGAGTTTTTTGTGCATAACTTGCATTGCAAGTCTGCACTGATTGTTTTAGAATTTCAAGTTTTATTAATAAAGTGTTGGGACCTGATAATAAATAAAAAGTGCAAGCATCATCAATAAGTGAGCTTCCTGTATGTTTGAGCAATGATCCTGAAAAGATAACATGAATCATAATTTCAGGTTTGTTAGGAGAAAATATTTTATAGGAACAAAGAGAACCATCTGTAGAACAGATATTGACACAACGCTCCTAAAAGATAAACATAAAAAAATGTTTTTGATATCCACAATGAAAAACACGAGTTATTTTCATTCAACCTTTATTTATACAGGTTCGTCTCATTGAGTCACAAGGACTCATTTACAAGAGACCTGTTTTTAAGCAAAAAACAAAATGAAGTACAAACAACAATAATCGTATAAAAGCATATAAAATGAAAGGTAAATGAAAGTAGTGATATAAAATGAAATGAGCTACATTATAAAATGGGGTAAATATTAAAATATGGGACATGTCTGGAATGATTTTTGCATTGAACTTAACAATCCCTTAGAGAGGTCAAAGTTGACGGCTTCATATCATTTTACAAGGTGTTCCAGGAAACAGGAGCGGAGTAAGAGAAGGCACTTTTGCTAAATTCAGTCCTCACTGAGGGGATACTGCAGGTAATGATGTTTGGGAGTACACGCTATAGTTGCACAGACAAAGTGACATGTAGGAGGAGATGGGCAGCAGACCAAGGAGTGATTTTAAGATGAAAATGTACCAGTGTGAGAGTCTGCATGAAGTTAATGATGACCAGTTAACTAGTGTATACAGGGTGCAATGGTGGGTATGGTAGTTACAGCCAGTTATGAATCTTAGCGCACAGTGAAAGACAGCGTCCAACATCTGCAGGGTGCTTGCAGGAGCGTTCATGTAAACAGTCGATGTCCGGAAGCAAAGTAGGAGTTACAAGTAACCCAATTATATTTACAATTTCTTTCTCAAGTTTTTGACATCTCTGACGTCAATCCACCTGATATACAAAAAGTAATTGTTGAGCACATAGTGAGAAATGAAGACTCTGCTCTGCAGATGCACACTTCCTTGAGACTCAGACCCTTCTCTGGGCGTGTTCCATGCCCCAACAGTGAAGTGGATTATGAGACATGGCGCTCCTGTGTGGAACTTCTCCTTAAAGATATGACACAGTCTGAACCTTACAAGTCGCGAAAGCTTCTTGGAAGTCTCTTATCACCCGCCATTGACATTGTGAAGCACCTGACACTTGATTCTCCCCTCAGTGCGTATTTAGAGATCTTGGACTCTGCTTTCGGCACAGTCGAGGATGGAGATGACCTCTTTGCAAAGTATCTTAACACAATGCAGGATAATGGTGAGAAACCCTCAGCTTACCTACAACGGCTACAAGTTATGCTGAGCACCACCCTCAGGAGAGGAGGTGTGACTGCAAGTGACCTTGATCGGCATCTTCTCAAGCAGTTTGTCAGAGGCTGTTGGGATAACATCTTGATAGTTGAGCTCCAGCTAGAACAAAAGAAGCAGAATCCACCTACCTTTGCTGAACTTCTCCTGTTACTCCGTACAGCAGAAGATAAACGTTCTTCCAAAGCTTCACGCATGAAACAACACCTCAATGTTTCAAAACCAAGAGTGTCTTCTCATTATCAAGGCGTTTATGTGCAGAGTGAAGAGGACTGCAGCTCATCTTTGCCAGCTCCTGGTCACAGGTCTGAAATCCAAGACTTAAAGAAACAAATAGCTGACCTACAGTCCCAGCTCACACGCATCACGCAGAGAGACTGTAGGAAACCTAAATCAGCGGCCAGACGACTAGCTCCTCAAACAGCTGACACGAATTCCCCAGCTATCACTCACACATCTCAAAGGTTGCAGCCCCAGAGCCAAGATGCACACATCAGCATAAGCAATAGACCGAGGCCCTGGTATTGCTTTAGATGTGGAGAGGATGGACACATTAAGCCTCAGTGTGAAAGTGAACCGAACCCATCTCTGGTGGCTGAGAAGAGGAAGCAACTAAAAGAAAAGCAGTTAGCATGGGACAGACAACATGGCACTTCAAAGCCTGATCCTTTAAACTAAACCCAGTTCCGGTTGTGGGACAAACGGGGACTGGAACACAGGCAAAGTGTCCCAAAGGGAAGTTGCACAGAACCCATGTGTACTCTCACACACAAAGACAGTCAGTGACCTTACCAAAAGGTTTGATTGGAGCCAAGTGCACCGCACAAGTGACTATAGCTGGCAAAGACTGTAGCTGCTTGTTGGACTCAGGCTCCCAAGTATCAACAATCCCCAACTCCTTCTATCTAGAGAGCATGTCTCATCTACCTCTCAATTCTTTGAACGACCTACTAGAAGTGGAAGGAGCCAACGGTCAAAGCGTCCCTTACCTTGGTTATGTTGAGGCCACCGTCAGATTCCCAAAGAGCTTGCTCGGAGTCGACATCGAGGTACCTACTCTAGCCTTGGTTGTACCTGACATGCGCTCCACGTTGTCATCAGTGCTTATCGGCACAAATACCTTGGATGTTCTCTATGAGAAGTGTGCAGAGATTGCACCTCAGAACCTTGAGTCTCTTCCTTATGGCTATAAAGTTGTCTTGAAGACCCTTGAAATCCGGAAAAAACAGTCTGTTGATTCCAGCCTAGGAGAGGTGAGACTTCATAGTAGAGACCTCGAGACCATTTCAGCTGGACAGACCAAAGTCCTTCAAGGATCAGTAAGCTGCAGAACATCTAATGTTGGAAAGTGGGTGATAGTAGAGTCACCAAAGTCATCGTCCCTGCCTGGCGGCATCCTGGTGGCAGATAGTCTGGTGAGTCTACCACCAAAGCCATCATGCTACATCCCAGTCACGCTCAAAAACGAGTCACAGCGTGACATCACCCTGTTCCCAAAGGCTGTGATAGCAGAGATACACGTTGTCGAGAGTGTTCAACCCGTCAAGACCCCTGACTCAGACTCTTCTACAAAACCTGACCAAAAACCAAATCTCGACATTGATCTTACTGATTCTCCTGTCCCCAACGAGTGGAAAGAGAGGATAAAAGAGAAATTGAGCTCCATGCCAGAGGTGTTTGCAATGCATGAGCTTGATTTTGGCCGCACTGACAGAATCAAACACCATATAACTCTCAGTGACGAGACACCATTCAAACATAGGCCGAGACCTATACATCCGAAGGACATAGAGGCTGTGCGTGCCCATCTCCAGCAACTCCTCGATGCAGGAGTCATCCGTGAATCAGAGTCGCCTTTCTCCTCGCCAATCGTAGTTGTCAGGAAAAAGGATGGCGATGTCAGACTCTGCATAGATTACAGAAAATTGAACGCACAAACAGTAAAGGATTCATATGCCTTACCTAATCTGGAAGAATCCTTCTCAGCGTTGACCGGGTCCAGGTGGTTCTCGGTGCTCGACCTCAAATCAGGCTTCTATCAAATAGAGATGGAGGAAACAGACAAACACAAAACCGCATTCGTTTGCCCTCTAGGCTTCTTCGAATTCAACAGAATGCCTCAGGGGATAACCAATGCCCCTAGCACGTTCCAGAGACTTATGGAGCGTTGTATGGGAGAGTTGAACTTGAAGCAAGCCCTAGTTTTTCTGGACGACCTCATCATCTTCTCCTCTACATTGGAGGAGCACGAGGAAAGATTGATGCATGTGCTCAACCGATTGAAAGAGTTTGGTTTGAAACTGTCACCAAAGAAATGCAAGTTCTACCAAACTTCTGTAAGATACCTTGGCCACATTGTGTCTGAAAAAGGCATTGAGACCGATCCTGATAAAGTAGCGACATTAAAAACCTGGCCAAAACCAAATAACTTGAAAGAGCTAAGAACCTTCTTAGGTTTCTGCGGCTACTACCGCCGGTTCATCAAAGACTACTCAAAGATCGTGAAGCCACTCAACGAGCTCACTGCTGGCTATCCACCGCTAAGGAAGCAAGCTAAAACCACAGTGAACCCTGAGAAGTATTTCAATCCAAAGGATGGTTTTGGTGACAGATGGACGCCTTCTTGCCAAACAGCGTTCGACACCATAATCAAAAAATTGACAACCGCACCCATCCTCGGATTTGCTGACCCCAAACTCTCTTACATTTTACATACAGATGCAAGCACTTCAGGCCTCGGTGCTGCTCTCTACCAAGAGCAACAAGGGCAGAAGCGCGTTATTGCCTATGCGAGCCGGGGTCTGTCAAAGTGTGAATCCAGGTATCCTGCTCACAAATTAGAATTTCTTGCCCTTAAGTGGGCAGTAACAGAGAAATTCCAGGATTACCTATACGGAAACACATTCCTTGCTGTCACGGACAGCAATCCGTTAACATACATTCTCACCTCAGCTAAGCTCGACGCTACGAGCTACAGATGGTTGGCCGCTCTGTCAACATTCGATTTCCAGCTACAGTACAGAGCTGGTAAGCAGAATCAGGATGCGGATGGGCTGTCCAGACGTCCCCATGGCAAAGTACCTGATGACATATCGTCACAAAAGGAGTTGGAGAGGATACAGCAATTCACAAAAAGGCACTTATCACAGGCTGATTACGCACACCTGAATGAAAGCACAATCAAAGCCATTTGCGAGAAGCACTTGGTCCATGAAGTAACCGACAATGACCCTGGGGAAACAGTACCCAGCACCACTTTGGTTGTGTCACTTGCCCACCATCCAAAGGCCCTCCCTCAAAGCTTTGAAGAGGAGGATCAGCTTGGTGGCTTACCTGTCGTTCCCCCGTTAGCATCAGCTGAACTAAGAGATAAACAGAATGCTGACCCATGCATTGGTGAAGTCCTCAGGCAACTAGAGTCCGGAGAGAAACCTCCACCATGCTTGAGGAAAGAACTTCCTGAGCTTGGTCTCTTATTGAGGGAGTGGAACAAACTGGTGGTTTCAAATGGTGTTTTGTATCGCAGGCGACAAGAGGGTGCTCAGACTCACTACCAACTTGTACTTCCAGAAGCCCTGAGATTTGTAGTCCTCAAGAGCCTCCACGATGACATGGGCCATATGGGCATAGAGCGCACGCTTGATCTTGTCCGGAAGCGATTCTATTGGCCCAAAATGTCAACTGAGGTAGAAAATAAAGTCAGAGCCTGCAACCGTTGCATACGACGTAAGACCATACCCGAGAAAGCAGCACCACTCATCAACATTGTGGCTACGAGACCACTCGAACTCGTGTGCATGGATTTTCTCAGTGTGGAGCCAGACTCAAGTAACACAAAAGACATTCTAGTCATCACCGACCATTTCACAAAATATGCAGTGGCAGTCCCCACCCCGAATCAGAAAGCCAGGACAGTGGCCAAGACCCTGTGGGACCACTTTTTCGTCCATTATGGCATCCCTGAAAGACTCCACAGTGACCAAGGTCCCGACTTTAACTCCCGAACAATAAAAGAACTGTGTGAGCTCATCGGCACTCAAAAAATAAGAACCACACCTTATCATCCGAGAGGGAACCCTGTAGAACGCTTCAACAGGACCCTGCTCAACATGTTAGGAACCCTTGAAAACCAGAAGAAGAGTCACTGGCGGGAGTATGTCAAGCCATTAGTACACGCTTATAATTGTACTAAGAACGAGACAACCGGCTTTACCCCTTACGAGTTAATGTTCGGGCGTCAGCCAAGATTGCCAGTTGACCTAGCCTTTGGCTTACCAGTCAATCATCAGCCAGGCTCTCACTCTCAATATGTCCGCAACCTGAAATCTCAACTTGAAGACAGTTACAGAGTAGCAACTGAGAATGCTAAAAAGACAGCCGATCACAACAAAACGAGGTTTGACAAGCATGTTGTTGACTCCACCTTGGAAGAAGGCGACAGAGTCCTGGTCCGAAACGTCCGTCTCAGAGGCAAGCACAAGTTAGCTGACAGGTGGGAGTCCGATGTGTATGTTGTCCTGAAACAGTCCGGAGACGTCCCAGTGTATGTTGTGAAACCTGAGACAAGAGATGGTCCACAAAGAACTCTTCATCGTGACCTCCTGCTGCCATGTGGTTTTCTTCCTGTGACCCCGGTCGAGAGCGAAATTAACCCGCCAAAGGCAGTAAGGCGACCAAGAACTCGACAACATTCTAAAGAAAACATATTGGATGGAGCTGATGAATCCCAATCTGATTCTGAAGAATACCACTATCACAGAAACCTAAAAGTGGACACACTAGGGTCCAACCTGAGTTCCGAACCTATAGAATGCTTACCAGAAAGGATTGAACCAGAACCTGATTTGACTACTGTTGAGCAAAATCTTCCAGATGTAGCTGAAGCGTTCCCTGAGAATTCTCCAGTAGAAACTTATGACAGATACCCACCTGATCCTGAAGAGAAAGACTTACCTGATCTTGAAGAGAAAGACTTACCTGATC